ACTCAAGAGTTTGAGCTCTGAGCAACAGCGGTTCGATGCCCGGCCCGAGCTGAGCTGCCGCTTAGCTGCCAACAGGTGGCAGGATGGCTCAGCTAAAAAAAAAAGACTGAGAAGGCCTATCCCGAAACACTCTGGCACACAATCGTCAGATGATAAGCAACATTCATCCTCCATTTTCCGTGATACACTAATTGTAATATTAAAAGGGTGGACCCAAACTGACAAGAACAAATGTGTTGTTCATTCTGCTTTTTAACAAATAAAAGCAACCGAGAAAAACATTCAAAACTTTTGTTCAGAAAGGTGTGAATATCCTAATGTCAAGGCAATGTCAGCTTTCACTTGACTAGTTCATGCTGAAGCTCTGAAATTCCAATTGTATTACACTTGTCCTGTTTTGTTTGCTTCTGTATTCCCAGCATTGAGAAAAGCATTTGATATGAGAGCTACTCAGAACGTATTTATTGAATAAATCCTATAGAAAAGGGGCAAACAATGCTCTTTGTGTTCTCTTGTGCTCTCTGGGAAAGCCCAAGGCTTTCACTATCACTAGTATTTACTTATGACTTTGCATAACCTTCAGAGAAGACTGAACTTAGATGTGTTATGAGCACACACATTAATATAAGCAGACCTAAACTTATTATCACTCTCCTCAAATTTATAACTCTCTAAAATATGCATCATCTACCCAATAATGTAGGAAATATTTTAGACTTTTCTCTTTTCCTATCTCACTTCCCATTACATCCAATTTGTCATTATATCCTGGATATTCTACATCTTTAATATAGTTCACATCCTTCCTCACCCTGCTATTCGCACAACTTACTGCCTTTGTTCACATTCTCTGTATTTCTTACTGGTCTGTTAAAATCAGATCTTATCAGACCCACCTGTGTCTGTCCTTAGCTCTCGCCATGCTAATTACTGAGTGTATAAAAATTTTTCTAGACAGTGGTCTTCAAATGTTGTTGGCTTTTTGTTTTTGTTTTTGTTTTCTTCTGTCACTGAAAGAATGTTATGCTAATGTATTTTATTTTATGTTGGAGAGTCTTTTATTCTTTGCCTCATCACACTTTTCTGAAAGATTTTTGTATATTGAAATTAATTTTTAAAAATTTCTTGGATTACAAAATACTAAGAGATAAATACACACATGCACTAAACATATGCACACATAAACACAAACAGAAATGTGTATATGTATGTGTGTATATACATATGTATATATGTGTATATATACATATATACATATTTATATATTCTGGATAGTTATATAATTAATTGTTGGTAGTACATAAATGATAAACAACATGTACAGAATTTTCAAAGATTGTTTTGTTTAGTGCCCCCAAGGTTTTTACACCCCAGGACAATGCACCACATTAAAATTCAGGAAGGATTGCAGTCTGCCTTTGTTCAGTAAAGAAGGAAATAGTGGTTGTGAATGGGAAGGTATGATGTTGACCTTGACTGATGCCTTAGGAAAACATGCATCTTAAGCAGAAGACTTTAGGAAAGAATTCATATTGAAGTAGAGGAGGCAGAATTTAAGTCCTTTAGCCCACAGACCTTTAGGGGAGTCATTGTGTTCCCCGGGTTTCATGGACACCAATGTGGAGACTACTATTGTAGATCACAAATCATGTAAGACCACTCACTCTGCTTAATTTTTCAGTGTTTCTCATGGGAACTAGATGTGCCACTTTTGGATCCTACTTGATCTGCCTCACATCAATCTTATCTTTTTTCACCTTCTCCCATTTCTCTGTTTTCCATTAGTCCCTACCCATATCAACCTAATTTCTATGTCTTGAACACTGCAGTGATGCTGCATCCATCCATGCCTATACACACCTTCCCTCACTGGCATAATCACAGCCATTTTGTAGAACTGAAATCAGAATTATTGATAATAGATGGAAAGCACCTCTCTGTAGGTGTTAAATAAATAGTGGCAATTATGATTTTTAATACAGATATTATATCATGAAACGAGAGTTTTAAAACCCCCTTTCAACTTTAGAGATGATAAGTGACATAATCAACTCTTTTTTTTTTTCAAACATATTGGAAACTCAGAATGAATTCAAACAGTCAGGACTCATAAATAACCAGAAAGCTCACCCATGAACTGAATGATACAAATATGAAGTGATAATATTCTGTTAAACCAGTGCAAGTAAACATGTGTGTAGTGTATAGAATGCAATCATGGCATCCAAGATTGCCACCCACTGATGTACACTCTGTATAATTCCTTCCCCTTGAGTGTGGGTGGTACTTGTGAATATCATGAGAGAGCCACCCTGGTGATTAATTTATTAGCTTATATTAGCTTCACAAAAGAGAAGAGTTTTTGCAGATGTAATTAAAGTCCCTAATCAGTTGACTTCAAGTTAATTAAAGGGAAATTACCCTAGGCAGACCTGACCTAATCAAGCAAGCTCTTTAAAAGAGGGTGTAGAGGTCACAGGTTCAAAGTAATGGAAAGCTATCCTGTTAGCCTTGAAGAAGTAAACTGACAAATTGGAGAGGGTCATATGGTAGGAAATATTGGGAATTCTCTAGGACCTGAAGACTTCAGCAGTAGAACCACTAGAAATTGAATTCTGCCAACAACCAGTGGGCCTGTGAGTCTTAGATGGGACAGTAAGCCTGGCAAGGACCTGGGTCCCGATCTTGTGATATCCTAGGCAGAGAACCCACCTGAGTCATTCATTGACTACTGACTGACAGTAATGATGAGATAATAAGTGTGTATTGTTTAAAGCCACTAAGTTTTTGGTAATTTGTTATGCAGCAGTAGAAAACTAATACACACTTGAAACCACCATCAAATTTCTCAATTTTTTTATGGTAGAGTTTACTGTATATAAAAGCCAAAATATTTGGAAGAATATTCATAAATATTATCTCATACTTTCCAGAATTCCAAAATGTCAACTTTTATTTATTTGAATAAAAGTGTAGTCGCTATATAATTTTACAAACTAAAGTTTCCCTGTAATAAATTACTTCTAAAATATTGCCAAAGCTCAAAAGATTATTTTAATCTTTAACTATTTAGGTTTGGCTTCCATCACCACTTTTGTAGAATTAAAATCCTATAAATACCACCCTCTGTTTAACAAAGCTATCAGAATTATTGTAAGTCACTTGCATAATTAGCCAACTCTTCCTTGGACAGAAAAGAAAAAACAAATCTATCTAATAGTTGGGAAGTGTTATATTCATTCTATTTATTTCCTCTCCCAATGTCTTTTAAAAATAACCCAACAATGGTTGGAAAATGAAGAGGAGGGCAACACTTGGACATTTTTGGTGTCTGTGCGCCAGTTGAAAGGTGAACGTGCTTGTGAATGTGTGTGTGTGTGTTTGGTGTCTGTGCGCCAGTTGAAAGGTGAACGTGCTTGTGAATGTGTGTGTGTGTGTGTGTGTGTGTGTGTGTGTTTATACTGGCATTATTCCAGAGATAATTTACGAAAGTATCTAACACACATATAAAAATAAAATGAAAGGAAAATAGTTGGGTTACTGTACCTAAATGGTTTAGAATGATGGAAAGAATAACAAGATTGAAAAAGTCAACTGGTGGAACTAATTGAATCTATACAGAGAAACACTGTCACAGGAGTCATCTCTTATTTTAAAGGACCTCGCAGATGATTCAATTTCTTTGAAACACTGTGTTCACATTGAGTGCTTTCCAGATTCTGCAGTTATTTCACATATGCCAGACATGTCCCCTTTTTATGGGCTTTATTTGAGTAGTACAAAACACTTCCTTTTATTATCAGGTCTAAATGGAGAGATTTACCTTGGCAGTATCATATGGTAGATAACACTGAATTAGGTTTGTTCAAAGGAATATCCCCATCCTGTTCTAGGGAAATACACAAATACATGTCCTTAGCCTCATCATTGTAGAGTTATCATTCTGGGTGCTGGTACCTGATTACATGTAAATTATGTCTCTCTAGATAGATAGATAGATAGATAGATAGATAGATAGATAGATAGATAGATAGATAGATAGATATTAGATATGTATATCTAATATATACATATACATATATAAAGATATAACTTTACATAATCAAGTTAATTTATAACATTATTACATATTACTAAATTTATGCAATTCTACTGGTCTTAAAGCATTTTAAGATTCAGTTGAATAAAACAAGACCTGTACTTATAGAAATAAAAGCACATCTATATCCAATTATAGTAGTATTATTTCAATTCAGTAGTATTATTTCAGAGAAGAGTAAAAATGTGTGGGTTAACCATGGAGAACACCAAGTATGCAGATTTAAAGGGATAACACAAAGCTAGTGAGAAAAGCAGCTTTTTATCATAAATTCGGGAGACTGGGGTGAAGGCCAGTGTATAGAAAAGGATCGTTGGACTACTAATAGATGGGTTGGAACAGAATGCAGGCTGTGTGCAGGACAGCCATAGAGCCAGGGATCAGCTGCTAGAGGTTAGGGATGTCTGTGAGAATCTTCTACTAGACCTCTACTTGTCCACTGCAGCCTCTGTCATTCACCAGAAGAGGTCCACAGTCAGTTGACAGCTCATGTTATGTCTTGAGGGGAAAGGTAGGGAAATGACACAGACTGAAGGTAAGCATCTAAGGTCCTAGCTTTCCCAGCCCTAATGACATTATGATACTGCATATAATCCCTGATCTTTTCCTCACTCTCTGGATTTTTTTTTTCTTTTTCTTGATAACATGAGAATGCTTAGGCCTTTGCAATAAGTGTCAAAGTTTTGTGGATATGTGTGCACTTGCATATTTCTCTCTTACAAAATAATGGCTCTCTGAAATTCAAAAGTTTGGGTAGGGTTATGTAACACACTTTTAAAATATTAAAACCTACACACATTAAAACATCAAGTACAATAGTTGTTAACCTGTCTCACTAATAACCACCTGCTTAGATCCAGCCTGAGAGGAAAAGGAAGCAATAAATTTGACCCTAACTTACCACACATTTTAATTGCACAGTACTCCCAAGGGGTGTCAGGGTCAAGAGTGTAGCACCATGGCCTCGGCTTGCCATCAGGATTGCGGCAATAATTATCATCAAAGCCCTTGTCGGGATATCTGCAAACCACACGAAGAAAAGTGTCATGTAAATCTGCCTGGAAACACCACCCAGCCCTCAGCTCACAAAATAACTTCTGACTTAGCTCAGATACTACGAGTTGGGGGGAAAAACAGGCCCTGTATGTTTTGCCTTATGAGGGCTGCTAATCATTGACTATTGAATCTAATAACTTTTATATTCTACCAAGTATAGCAAGGTCCCAAACTGAATCCCCTTTTCACAAAGCCCAATTAAGGGCAGATTATATAAACATGACCTCATGTAAAATGCTCATTAAGAAAACAGATCCTCTTCTGTGGCAGGCTTAAAGTTTAAACCGAAAGATAGGCTTCAATAGCTCTGTTGCTAATGATATCTCAATTCTGGAACTAGAGCCTTCATAGGTCATGCCCTCCCCTCCACAAGAACAAGAGACAAACTCCATCACACCACTTTCTCTGCACCCCCTCCTCCCTTTAAATTAACAGGGGCCTGAATTGGTGACTTGATTTTAATTGCTACCATGTCCCTTCTGCTCTCACTTGAAAGACGAGAGATGCACTTAAAAATAAAGCAGAGTTTTAATTTCATTTAGAAGAACAATAAACAAAAAGATGGAAAAAGAAGAAAGAATAAAAACACCTTTCAGCAATTTCCAAACAATGGCAGGGATAGAGTTTCCTCTGCAATTATTTGTATTTTTCTTCTTTATAATAAAAATAAAAGAATTTGTTTTTCAACTAAAATGTTTCATGTGAAATGAATGGGCCAAAGTCGACTTTTTATTTTTTTTAACCATTTAAACTAAACACCTACTTCTGAGGAAAAAGTGGACTTGATTCCCTGACTTCTCCAAATTGGCAATTTCAAAACGCACCAGAATAAAGCAGCTAAAGAACTGTTCGCTCTACCTCTCATTCCCTTTCTGTGGGCATGACCTCTGTCATGGTGTCACACCTGTGAGCCCATTTTACCTAAGTCACTGGAAGATGTGGCTCTCGAAGGAGATTGGCTTATATTTGGCAATAGTACCTTCTCCTACAGCTCAAGCTTGTCCAAGCGGTCGTGATTGAACGGGCCTCTCCTTTTCCTGTCAGTGCTTCCCTTCCACACCCCACTGATGCTCCTGTGTTCTAGACCATCCCGATTTCTAGAATCTTAATCTAGTCAGCCAAGACAAGTTGAAAGTGTAGCCATCATTTTCATATTTCTCATCATAAATCCCTTTGCCCAAGACTTTCCAGACATCATATAAAGATTATTTATACGGCAGTTTTTCATGGAGCAAATAACAGTTTGTAAAAAAGAGTCATTGGAAGCATGGTTTGGTGGTCTTTTACCTTTCTGGCAAGAATTTGTGCCGATGTGGCGTCTGATGATCCCAGCGCTGACAAATCTTGCCTGATTCTGTACGATCCATGGGACCTCGATAACTTTCCCCATTGCAGGTCATGCATTCAACTAATAAAATTAAAGTACGGCATGTTAATTGCTTCTGACAGAAAAATCAAGCACATCACTGTTCCATTTAAAGAACAGTAAATCACCTGGTTAGCAGAGATTTTTTTTTAAAAACCTTACATCTCATTTTAACTTTAAATTAGGGCCTAACGTCCATAAAGAGTGACATGAAATACTCCTTACAGAACCGTTCCTATAATTTAAATGGGATTTTTGTACTTAGTGTCATACAGATTTTTGTACTTAGGGCCAGGATGCTACCTTTCTAATGTTTCAATAACTGTCCGAAAGGTACCCAGAAACTGGAAATACAGGGTAGAACCTTGAGGGTTTTCCGTTTGTTAGTCTAAAATGCCAGGATCTCAGTATCTATAGTGTCAGTACAATAAACTCCTCTCTCCACTTAACCTCCAGTCACATACATAGGGAATACACAATTTAAAATGAGTACACAGTGTACTCCCACAGCTAATGCCAAAATCAGGACAAGATAGAGCAGAGAGATGAGCTTTGGATAGAAACCTGGTACTATTCAAAGAACATGGATATTTTCAAAGCTACCACAGCTCCTTTCTGTTACGGAATATCCATGTTGCATAACTGGGCAGGCTTACATTCTTATCTAGCTTAGGATAGAATCTGACCTGCTATTGAACTTCTTGTATTCAGTCCTTTTAAAATGTATAAGCTGATCTAATTATGCAGGATCTTACTGATGATTTTGTGTGGTTAATAGCTCTCTTCTAGCTGGCCTCTTATGTCACACTGAAAACTCTGAATCGCATCAACTAGCTGGAAAAGAGACATTTCAAATGGACAGGTTGATTTGTAGCACTGCAAGCATCCTCTGGAATAAATCATTGCTTGGCTTTCCTACGAATCAGGCAAATCTCCCCAAACACATCATTTGTATCTTGTGATTATTGATCATCTAGCTTTAGCCGAAAGGGAGCAAAGATATTAATGTTGAGTTTTAGCTACTGCGATCCAGCCTAACGAGCATTTGTAATAATTTGGGATACAATATTAGAATAATCACTTCTGTACCTTTGATTTTTATAATCTAATAGGACATTAACTAGTAACTTTCCGAAACATGAGACCATTTAGCTTGATCCATCTACTTCTTTACATGTCGGTTAACCTGTGAACGAAAACAAGGGACCAATTCAGATCCTCTCATTTGATACTGAGATTCCCCAGACTATAGTCAGTAAGCTCTTGAACTGTAATGAGAGGGGTCCAAGAGTATATTGATAAAGGTTCTTTGTTTGGCCAAGGTCATTTCCACATGGAAATGGTCGATATAGGTTATGCGTTATCACATTTCAGCTTTCCACAAGGTACAGATTTAGTTCCTTTTTCTTAAAGTACGTAAGGTTTGATATCTTCACAGAAAATGATGTGACATTTATCATTGTTGCATGCTCCTTTGTATTGAATGGAAAAATACTAAGGTCATACATAAGACCTAAGTATCCACATACACAATTTCTAACCTTGTATAATACTCAGGAATCAGAATACACCTATTTTGTCTCTTTCAGCAAATGCAGTTTATGAGTATATCCCTTTCTAATGGGAGTAAAAAACGTATTTTCTAGGAAGCTGTACTATGGGGATGATTATAAAATATTTTCCTGGGCTTCAGGGTTTTTAATTTTCTTATGATCACTTTCCAAATTGAATGTGGTAGACGAACGATTCTCCAAACTTTAAGGTGCATAAAAAGTTACTTTGAAATCTTGTTAAAGGGCAAGTTCTGATTCAGGGGATCAGGGCTGGGGCATGAATAACAAGCCCCCTTGGGATGCCGACACTTCTGGTCCTTGGATCTCATGTTGAATAGCAAGCTTGTAGATAATTTGTTCTATTCTAAAAGTTGTAACTGTTTGGCAGTAATGGCTTTTTAGAAGAGAATGGATTGTATGTGGTCCTTGAAGGATGGATGAGATTTGGATACGCTGTAAAAGGACAAAATAACATACAATAGTACACTAACATAAATTTTTATATTATGTTTATAGTAAAGTGAAGAGATAATTATGGAGACAGTTTCTAGACCTAGTGAGATTTTTTAAAATAATAAGAGCTAATGAGAATAATGTTCGATTTTGGTAGGCAATAAAAGTTGCTGTTGGGGTGGGAATTAAATGTATTTTGTGACAGAACTAAGATGCTAAATATATTCTAGTTGCATATTCTTTTATTATTCAGAACTTTTAACGTATTAGAAGAGATTTGATCTTTACGGTAGGGGAAAAAATGCTCACACAAGTTTTAAGGGACTTACCTAAAACAGAAAATGTCAAACCCGTGTCTGGAACACAGGTCTTCTGACCTGCAGTCCAGTGATCTTTCCATTTTCTCTAATTGCCTTTTTGTCTTACATGCTTTAGCATGTTGCCTATATATTCTAACTGGTCGTCCTCAAATATAGACTGATAGCAATAATTTTAGAGAGCCAATCACCTGACTTTTTCAACATTGTCCCAATGACTCTTTGCTTTCTTGTTTGCAACAATAAGTTGCCCTCCTATTGGCGTTCCACCTGTTGAAGGGTGTGGAAAAGGAGCCGTAGGAAAGCAGATGGATTGGCTGTCTTAATCAAGGCTTAAAAGTTTGTTGTTTCACCATTGCATCAAACCACCAGGTTTGTTATAAAAATGACCTCCAGAAAGTGAAATTTTAAACTCATGGTCACTTTTCGAACTTCCAGAATTCTAAGAACCTTCTAAGTTTTCCCAGCTCCAAGCTAAGCAGTACAGGTGGAAAACAAGTCCACCTGACTCAGGGAACCAGGTGAGAGCATGATCTATACAACAGTGTAAGAAGTAAGGATTACCCCCACTGCTCTGTTTCCTTTTAGCTCTCTGTATTGTAGCCAGTGTATTATTTAACCCCTCTAGCAAGTTCTTCCCTTTAAAACAACAAAATAAAAAAGTAAAATGCTGTCCCAGATTACATATACAGAAACTAAATATTTCTATTCATAAGTACAGTATTTTTTCTAAATATAGTTCTGACCTAAACAGTAGAAAACTATAAAACTACACATAAATTGTAACATAAGTAGGATTTACTTAACATCTTTCTCATCATACTAACCAACTACCTCAAAAACTTGTGTTCCATTTGCTCAGTCATAAAACCACAAGTGATCTGAGTTTATAGGCTAAAACAGATATTCTGAAAGTATCTCTCAGAAAAATCCATGCTGGTGATTACTTAAGAAAAAATGAATGTTTAAAACATGGAAAGTCCCACAAATCCACATTTATAAATAATAGTTATATTTATCTTTGTTTTAAAAAGTCTTTCTCCACACAGAGTATGGAATTACACACTTAAAATGTTGGCAGTATTGGGCCAGCTGAGTGGCTCAGTTGGTTAAGAGCTCACTCAAGAGTGTGAGCTCTGAGCAACAAGGTCACTGGTTCGATTCCTGGCCTGAGCTGAGCTGCTGCTGAGCTGCCAACAAGTGGCAAGATGGCTCAGCTAAAAAAAAAAATATAAAATAAAATAAAATAATGATTATGGCTTAATAAAATGTATTTGCATGAATATTTGACAATCATTAAAAAGACATCTGTTCCAATGACTAGTGATGGCCTTATGTTTAATCTTAAGCAAATGTTAAAACAAGAAATTGGATTTCATGTACCTCAGTTTTCTATAATCTTTGAATCAAACATTAATAGTCCTCTTTTCTTTATATAATTATATAAGGTTTGAAAGGAGATAAAAGTACTCATTTTCTTTTGGAATGCTTAATATGTTTCAAAGTTTTGAATTATAAGAAAATAATATTATTCATTGAACATCAGATATGTGTATATCTTTTATGAACCAAATTTTTAAACAAATTTCAGATAATTATTTAGCCGAGTTTAATAGTTACAAATATTTCAAAAAATATATACTGTTCTATATGTCTTTTTCAAAACAACAGTTCAAAATTTGACTCCAATTATTTTTCTTGCTTAATTTTAAATATGCAAAATTATTTGATCATTACTACCTGGCATCCATAATGATGTAACCTTTGAACTTGTGATTTGATAAATTAATATCCATAGATTAAAAAAGAAATGGTTCACCCATTATACTATTTAATCATTCTGGATTTTGAGGTTTTTCACTCACATTTGTATTTTAATAGAAATTTACACCATATGTACAGTATTTTGTATATTTTTGTATTGTTTATTTTATAAATAGCTGTTTTTCTTTATTAATGCATTGACAATGCTTCTTATTTTTTATCCTCTTTATTAAAACCCTGCTAAAACATTGTTCTTTATAATGTGAATTTAAATATCACAGTTCAATTCACACTCACTGAAATATGTTTAGCCTGTAGGGCAGGTGCTAGTTCACTTCTCTCACAGGAGGGTTATTCTACTAATGTCAGATGTCTAATTGTTTCCAGAAAAAGCATAACTGCAAACTTTAGTGCCACAGTAACCAATAGCATCATGTAACAGTAACCTAATGAGCAATGGACTTTTCCAAGGGGGATGCAATGACCTCGAATGACTAAAAGATATTAGAGATGTATAATTGAATGAGATGAGGATAACTGGAAATAGGACTTTTACAATTACTTCTAGCACATTTATTCTACATTGCCAATCAGTCCAGACCTATGCCAATGCATTTTGATGAAGGTACTTATAAACCAGGGGTTGAAAAATTACATTCTCACACAGAATAGGCAGGTCACATAAATGCTAAGCTGTTTAAAATTTCACCATGTTACTGTCCCTTGAAAACACTTTCCTAGGTCAAACAAAACCAGTAACAGAAGTTGCAATGACTTTCAACCTCAGAACACTGTGATAATGGACAGTTCCCGAAAAGTAGGTTATTTTCTTCCATGTGTAAATTTAAGACAAACATGAATGACAGACTTATTCATACAAAACAGACTTGTTCATAACGTTATTACAGATCAGTTTATTATTTTTAAAAGAAAAGAAAACAATGAAGAAATAGTGAACAGAATATGATATGGAATGGAAAGTAAGAATTTACAAACAGAGACGAAACTGGATCTAGCACATGAAGTCAAGAATTTTAAATTAACTAACAACAGAAAATAAATTCACCTTCTCTGTGACAATTAACTAACAGTCGTCTTTTTATGTGATAAATAGCGACCTGATATTAAAAGGACATTAATGGAAGGAATATTTCCCCCCAAACCAGTTCATAATAAACAGGTAAGATATTTTACTAGAAAAACTGGACAGCACTTCAGCAGACCCCCACCCCCCAAGGACTTCAAATCTTACTAAATTTCTGTCAGAATTTAATCCATGTTTCATTTGAATTTTTAGAATTTTAGTTTCTGACAAAACTAAAAAAGACAGCTAGGTAGGCAGGTAACTAAGAAACATGAAACCACACACAAGGCTGAAATGGTTACTCTTCCTTCTGGTGGGTCATTCGGTTTTCCACTGCAAAAGTAAGGACAGTGCCCTCTTATGCTGTCAGAGGAGGTAAAAACAGAGAACGGATTTAGGGTGTCTGCCTTCAAGGCAGCTTGGGATCTCCTGCTTTGAGCTCTTCAGATCCTATTCTCAGTGGAGTTCCAGTCTATGTATGAGATTTGGTTCTAGTCACATTTTCACCCAAAGACACACAAGGGTATCAAATTCCAGTGACTTCCTCCCATATTCTCTTCTGGGTCTAGAAACCCTTGCCACAGCACTTCAGAGGAGGTTTGACAAAATTTCTGTGGAAGCAGGAGTTGGATGAATAGAGAATTAGCTTTACTCAGCAAGGGCTAAGTTTCATTCGGCTCCTTTCAGGTGATGTGTGGGAACAGATTGTGAGCTCGAGGCAGTAAATGAAGAAGCCCAAACTTTTATTTTTCCCAGAAGGATGCCTTAGGCTCTGTTGAAACTCAAACTGATAACTTGCTCCATTATTTTGAAATCATCAGGTTTTAAAACTTTGAGGAAAATACTCAAATAATTATCTAGAGTTGCATTTGAATGAACAACATATTTATTGTGACTTGATTCGTTTCTGTTAACCTTTAATGCAAGTTGCAGTTCTATAGAAAGGGGGAGCAGAGTGCCCCCCACGGCATTCAGGCTCATTTACCTTCTGAACACTGAGGAATGTCACAGACTTCGTAGCGTACCTCTGGATTGCTTGTGAAACACCAAGGTCCCCCTTCTTCCCCTCGAGGATTTCGACAGTAGTTTTCCTGTAGGTCTTTACCCCGATAGCTCGAAGGCAAAAAGCTAGTTTTAAAATGATAATCATTACAGTATAAGCACATGCAGCTTTAGTTTTGGTCTACTAATTTTACTAATTAGTGGGTATGTTTTCCCCAAAAGTAGAGATATCCTTTATTCTAACTCAGACTCCATATATAGTAACCTGAATTTTCATTTCCATCCATTCTTAAAATACTTAAATTTTATAAACGTTTACCTAACTGAATTCCCAATATTCAGCATCGGTTAAGAGTGGTGGTGATTCATCTCTGGATTTGTGAAGAGCCAATCATTTAAGGCCATAATTGACACTGTTTGAACCACAATTTCAAAGCTCCATGCAAAAACAGCAAGTGACTGAGTGAAGCCACTTAAGAGTGGCCTGCAATCAACCTTGAAATCTCATTATTATACTGCTTATCCAACATAATTACTTGTTTGTTTATTGCTTTTATTATGAAGGATAGCCCCCCTATTTTCTGCACAATTGAGATTGATGAAGTATCATGAACAAAGGGTCTAGAATCAAATCAAACCTGGACTCAAATTTCAGCTCTCTTGCTCACTAACTAGAGACCGAGCAGGTACTTTAGCCTCTGAGCCTGTTAGCTCACCTGTACACTGAGTATAACCATAACTTATAACATCTCACAACATATACGGTTGTTTTGAGAAGTTTTAATGGATGACAGAGTAATTGACAATAAACGCTACCTATTATTAAGCACACTCTACTTAGTAGTCTACTTTGTCATAGTAAAAAACAGAATTGCTATTCTGTTAAAAACTTTTAGTAATTTTCACTGGGACTGGGACTTGGTGCCTCCAGGTGTAGTTCATTATAGTTGGCCACTGGATGCAGAGACACCACCTTTAGTTAAAACCTTTAATTCCCTAGTTATACTTTTGTTACCAGCATAGAGTATTTCAACACAATGTCAGAGAAATTCAAAGTCTTTTTTACTCTTTTGTACTGCTCGTGGCGCTGGCCTCAGTGATGCTGCATTTGTGTAGTGGATGGCACACAAAAATTAAATAAAGAATACACATCTGCAGGTAATGATAGTAAACACTGTCGTGAAAATCTAATTACATTTTCAATATTAAGGTCAATTTTTGCTATAAAGCTTTATGTCTACTTTCGCTGATCTCTGAGTTCTAAATAATACTTAAATTAAAATCCAATGATTTTAGTCTCCCAGTAAATATTACTCAAAAGTGTTCCCTACCCATTGAAATTTCTAATTAATAAATCTTAATATTTTGTTGTTATGCCGTGCAACAAGATGAATATGGACATCCATTGGGTACCAAGCAACATTTTGCAATGAAATTATTTCATTTGGACACGAAATATACCAGACTTAAGTCCTTAGAAACCATAAATTATTGGTCACAAGAAAGAGACTATTCTAAGAGACTTATTACTAACCAAACGTTATGTAAATATAAATACAAACGTTGTAAATGTAAATAGATGCATTTACAAGGCATCTATTAAGTATTATAAACATTAATAAACTCCAAAATATCTTTAGATTAAAAATTTATAGCCTTACTTCATTAGTAATCTAAATATGGGAAAATAAAAATTAGACATTAGGCCATGTGACTGGCAAAAATTATACTGCACTTAGAACTCATTATGATTTCATAGTTCCTAACAGTTTTCATTTTCAAAGGAAAAACGAGTCATCTTTTGTCTGAGTTTTAGACCTCTTCTTCCAGAATAATTTAGGACACCTTTTTTTTATGCTATTGTTTGAATTTTTTTTTCATTTTTGTCAGTTCTCCAACTTTTCATAGTAAATTTAAAATAAAGTACTAATTTTTCTGATAGAATTTAGCATCCCATATTTGACCAAGGGATGCAGTATAGACCCACTCTTTTCACTTATTTGTGTTCACTCAACAAATGTTTATGAGAACCTGTTACACCCAAGCCATGTGCCAGGCAATAGGCTCTGTAATCAACTTTTATTCACATACATACTATTTTTGGTTCTTTGTTCTTGTTAGCAAGGCTTTAAGAGATAAGGGAAGAAATATTTAAAACTGAGTTATATCCAAATGTACCTTGGAATATAAATTAGATCTGGGTGCTAGCCACCTTTCCTTTTCTTTTAATATAAACTGTGTTGTAGGAAACTTGATCTAGTCCATCATCTGCTTCATTAATGAATGCTGGGTGGCCAATGAAGGATAAAGATGTAGATATCAGGTCACCTGATTTTCCGGTTAAGCTTCTATACTAATTTCATCATCTATCATCATCTTCCTATTAAGCCACTTGTAAAATATTTCAATTTAGGGAGTCAACAATAAATCACTCCTCTAGACAGAGACATATATGTATTTCTTTTTCCATTTCCCATAAAGTGAATCTTTAGTTAATACTGAAAGTGTTAAAGCTAAGTGTTAAAGCTATCATGCAGATATTCCAATAAGCTGCTAATCCCCTTTGAATTAATTTTTGGGTTTTTTTTTAATTAATGCACAAGATCCTCTCAGACCTAAACCTCTATATCACAAGGACATGTTTGCTGGTAAAAGAGCTGATTGGACTGGGAAGCCTGTTCCCAGGGAGATCTATTTCACATTCACTCCTCTAGCAGAAAATCACAATCATAGAGAATTTGGGTTGAAATAAGACCTCTACTGGGTCAGTCCAGTGCAGTCTCCTGGACTAGGGTAGGATTGATTTCCAATGCTATTCCTTTGTTCATGAAAAACATAGATCTATTTAAATAAAGTGTTTTCTTCACTATGCAGGGAGTGACACTACGCAAATACTTGTGAGAGGACAAAACCAATTATAGTGTTTGTTTTTGTAATATAAGGACAATATTGTGTTTCAGAGGTATTCCTGTATAATTAGAAGTAAACATTTTGGAAAAAAAATAGTTGTTTTTTGTTATTGAAACTCTGTAAAGCTGATCAGTTTGGACACGGACTAGCTGGTGTTAATTAGGCTCCGATCCCAGGTTTGATCCTAATGTGGAGAAACTAACTCTTTTTCTTTATATGTGGGCCAATTAACTGGTCTCTGTTTAATGATGTAAAGTTATCTTGCATAATTGTGTTCTCCAAAAATGCACAAAATAGAATCAAAAGTAAATTCATCCACACAAAGTCAACCCCACTATTCCCAAAACAAGTCACAGCATGTGTCCTACTGATCAGCTAAGTGACTCATGCCTTAGGGTTGTTAAAAACAAAGGTTATAGAGTGACACGAACAGACTCAGATTCTGGCCATACCACTGACTACTTGTGCATGACCTTGGAAAGTTACTATGGCTCTTTGTGCTTCAGATTTACCATATATAAAATAGAATTAATAAAACCACTCACTATGCAGTTCTTGGGAGGATCAATGAGATATACTCGGTATACTGCTCAGCAAAGTACCCTGCACATTGTAAAACTAAATCTTCTACTGCATTTAATATCTAGGGAGAGCTATTTTCAACTAGTTTAGTTCCTGTTTAAATTATTTGTGAAATAAGTCTTGAGAACTGTGGCTATATTTAGTTCTCTAGTGGGTAGTCAATATCTATGTTTCTCCTCCATGATGATCAAAGCTCTCAGACTAATGAGCCCATGGATATTGTTTACTCATCTTTAAATAGCATGCATCTGTTATAATGAACACAATTCGTAAGTGTAGACATTAATTCCCCCAGAATAAGAAGTTTTCTCCACTCTTTAGACAATAGGTGAAATGAGAAAGCTAGTCAACTTGAGGTATGAGTTTTTAGCAGTTCTCAATTTTGAATCATCTGGGGAGCTTTAACAAAATACTGGTGCCTGGGTTTCCCCCCCCAAGAGTTCTGATCTAATTGGTCTGTGTTGGCACCTTGGTGGTGGGATTCGTTGAAGGGTCATAGCAGGTGATTTTAATGTGTGGCCAAGGTTGAGAACCACCATGGTGAGCAAACATCCGGCCCCTGGGTAAGATCAGAATGGGATCCATCTCTAATTTCTCAGTCAACCTCTCCACAGCTGCAGAGGTACCTCCTCAAAGACAAAGAGGGGGGGAATATCTCATTTAAAAATTACACTTTCAGGGCTGGCTGAGTGGCTCAGTTGGTTAAGAGCTCGCTCAAGAGTTTGAGCTCTGAGCAACAGCAGTTCAAGTCCTGGCCCACGCTGAGCTGCTACTGAGCTGCCAACAGGTGGCAGGATGACTCAGTAAGAAAGAAAAAAAATTATATTTTCATTACTGCTTCACAAACACCAAAATCTAGAAATTGAAATTTTGAGGTAGAATAAGGTTAGGCCACATCTTAATGATAAATTTATTAATCATTGACTAAATATCAGTCATGAATTCACATAATCTTTGGCCTAATACAATTCGGGAAAGTTGGCTAAGTTATTATGGACTTGTAGGATTATTCTGAAGGACTGACGTGAGATTGCTAACACACATATAGAAAAAGAGAGGCTCTATCCTCTCTTCTTTATGCTGTTCTTACCTGTGTTCATGTGGTATCATGGAATCCCAGGGCTGGCATTTGATGCCACTCTTAGTGATAGATACCGTTCCCTTGTAGCTACCTCCTTTACCAATGATGCAGTTTCTAATGTAGTCTATTGGACGAAGCAAAAAAAAAAAAAAAGTTATAACTATGTGTAATACATGCTGGATATATGAAAAAGAAAACTCCATTCAAATCTTTAAATAATTAACACTTGTAAACTATCTCAAATCATATTAAAATGTCTTGCCTAAAGCTTCCACTACTAGTTTCAAAATAATACATATCAGAATAATCCAAAACAGACAAAAAAAGACTATTGAAAAGTTTTCATTTTGTGAGCATATACCTGGATAACTGCAGAGCGTAATCTAATATTTAAGGTTGCTTAGTCTCTACATTCAGCCAGACAAATTTAATTTGGCAGAATGATTTGCTCAAATATTCAGCCCATTTTTTAAAAATATTAAAAAAAATTAAGTGATTTGTAAAACCCATATAAAAATAACTAATTTGTCTTTATCTTAGAAAAATTGTTGGGTTTTGTGTGTGTGTGTGTGTGTGTGTGTGTGTATGTTTGTACGTGTGTGAGAGAGATAATTACATTATGTTTCTTTTTTCCATATTTTTTCTAACATTTCAGCTGCTAAATTATAGAGCAATCAAAATGAAACAAGCTGTATATTCCTACCAAAAATGGTATTTGATAGGAACAATATTGTTGTTTATAACCTATAAGATTAAAGATGGCTTATACTAGATTATGAATTTTGTTTAAGAGTTGTAGAATTATTGGAGGGTTATAGATCATCTTATTTTCTACCATAAATTAATTTTCATTTAATTTAAAACCTAATGATTAATAAGAAAATATCTGTGTATATTACCAAATACCTAAATTTAATATGACACAATATGATTGAAGAAAACATTAAAATTGAAATAAATACTATTTGTGCAAATTATCATAAATATAGTCCACGATTATTATTTTTGTGATGAGAGATTTATTTTGTTAAATTCATATTTATTTATCATTCTTCAATTATTTTATTGATATCATTATGCTTTTGAACAAAGTAAATACCTTCTGAATATATCAGGCTACCAAAATAGACAAATTAACAAATAATATGGTATCAATTTTTCTTTTATAGATTTTAAAGAATATACTTAGAAATAGATCCAACTAATGGATACAACTAATTTTTTCACAATCTCTACATTTTTTAATTATCATTAATCATCTCTATAATTTAGATTAATTATTCAAAATTGTTAAAATTTAAAATTCTATAGTAAGCTCAAAATTGACTATAACATGTCTTACAGTAAAACTTAAGATGTTACTTTCTAAAATGACATGGAGAATACCAGTTCTAGGAGAGTTTCCTAGAAATAAACAGAGGGAAGTGATCATTTAATTATAAGAAGTTTGGGAAATGCTCTTTAATCAAAATTACCATACTGAATATGATCAAGGTGCTTGTGTCATCTGTCTTAATGGATGAATTGACTACATAACAGATCCAGTATATAGTAGGAAAAGTAGTGGGAAAGAGCACTGTGGCAGGAAATTACATATATTTTATACTTTATTTCATTATCAAATATTTAGGGAGAAGCCAGTTACCTTTGTTTTCATAGAGGTCGAATTCATGGCCAAATTCTTTTTTCACTCCACTTGACATGCTATTGAAAGGGAGCCAGAGGCATCGTTTTCTTGCTTTATCAAAAACAAAGGCCCTGGAGGGAAAAAAGATCTGAATGAAAGAAGGGATACTACTATTTATACAGTTTTTAAAGAACGGGCACATAGATTAACCAAAGAGGGCAATATAGACATGTTTTAAACCAAAACGATAAATGCAAAAATCTCTGATCCGAGAATAGTAAAGTACTTGATAAATTTTTCAACGTATTAAATGTTACCATTTCTTACAATACAGGAAATGATGCTGGAATTCTGAACTGTTTTCCTTCTGTTAAAAGTGGTATTAAAACTCCTTTCTGTGTTCATGCTAATTACAATATCACAATGTACATGTGTCTAATTAAAAGACATACACAGATTTTCTAAGAATAAGGATTTTTTTACTTCTAGTCCATATATTTTTGAGAACAAATAATCTTGTAACTTTAGATATTTCAAATTAGTCATTTATATCTTAGAATTTTGACAACTTTTAAGTAACTTTAAATAAGGGGCAATAACTTTTATAAAACAAATATAAAAAGGCAGACAATGTTTTAAAATATTTTACCTACTATCTTATATTTTATTGACATTTTATTGTATACCTAAAACTTCAAAAAATATACTCATAAATGTTGTGCTTTGATTTACATATAGATATTTTGAAAAACCAACCTACAAGAACATTTTACTGCTAAAATAGTAGTTAAGAGCAAATCATAAAAGTATATTTTTGCAGCTGTGGCAGAATGGCTTGATAAGAGAGAATTGGATAATAATAGACTTGAATTTTGATCTGGTAGACTGTAAGCCTATGCAATACATGTGAAGTTCGCTATTCCCCTATTGTAGGTTGTGTGGGGAGGAGAGTGGTAAATGACTTTGAAAACATACTAATTAGATAAAGAACACCTATAAAAATAAAAATAAATATCTAAAAAGAAGTTTTAAAGTTATAGAGTCAATAGCCTCACATTAACTTCACACTAAAACAAAAAATGTACCACATATATACACATATAAACTACTTTGGCCTGAGGTCACCTTTGCAGGTGACTCATGAGCCCCATCAGGAGCATTCCAGATTTGCCTCTATGACTACAAATGTGATTCCATCTGGAAAGTGGGGGACAGGGTTTCCAGTTTGCTGATTTCATTCACCCTTTTCTCTCCTTCCATTACAATGCCATATTCTCTCAGAAAAGCATTTCCTAATATATCATTTTACACCTCCATACAGACTGGATCCAAGCTGTCAAATTCCATGAGTTGCATCTTCTTTTAAGGTGCAAAGACTTTAAGAGTCTTTATCTTAGGCTTATTTTAATTACCATCTTCGTGTCAAGAATTTATTTTATCTAGTTTTCTAGTTGTTCATGGCATGGGGGCAACTCCAGGACTAGTCAGTCATGGCTAGAAGAGGAGAGTCTCCTAGTTCCTTCTCTTGAGCCAATTAATGAATAGCAATTTTCTGAAGAGCTTAGAATCAGGCATCTGCTCATCTTTCCAACCCAGCAAAGAATTTCAATCTCTATAAAATCAATATTGTTCATTCTTTCTCAAGAGAAAACAGAGTTTGAAAATTTTCCACCCCATGCCTACTCAATCACAAATACTTTCACACAGCTTTGTTGGTATTTTCCAAACATTGTCCTATATTTGCTATTGTTTTCCAGTGATTCTAGTCCATGGCAAGTCGGCAAAGAGATCCTTTAATTCATTAAGATCCTAGTTTCAGACTATCATAGTATGTCCATTTAATCTGAATAACTATTTAGTGATTCCAAATACATATGTTAATATACACATATTAGGATAATGGGTGAGAAAGATGACACAATTTCTGGGCACAAGAACTCTGGCTGTCCACAGGTATTATTACATATGGTTTTCTGCATAAGTTGCCATAAATTTGGAGGCTAAATTTAACTCAACAAGAATAGGGTAGGAAAATATGAAACCTCATAGACATGCAATATGCAAAGATTTGTTAATTGGGTCACATGTGTTCTCCAATGCAGCAAACTCATTTTAGTGCCTCCTAAATAAAACAAAGGGAAAGCTTTTTTGGTTTGTTTTATTTTGTATTTTAATAGGCATAAGGCTGACTAATGTGAAAATCGAAAGATACTAGCAATTTCCTTATTTTTGTTATGTGTGGATACAGGCAGGAGAGTATACGTTCAGATTCAAAGTTAAAAGCCAACAATGAGATGTGGTTCTCTCATTCCCTCTGCCCAGCCCTTTCAACCCCAAAAGGGGAAAATACAATAAATCCAACTTCCTCAGCTGCCAGAATAACATATCCATAAATCTACACAGCTGAAATGTTGATTGAGAGTAGCTGTCTCTAATTTATTTTTTAAAATTTAGAAAAAGGCTTTTCTAGGAAAAACAGGGAAAGAAACAGAATTATCTATCATAAGGACACACTTGCCAAGTCAACCCCCCACTCCCCTTGCCATGAAATATCTCCCTGAAAGTGGCAGTTTGGATATGAAAACATTTTCAGAGGCGCTGTTAAGTGAATAGAAAGGAGATAGTCTCTCCTCTCCCTAACTCTGAGGAAGCCCTTCTCGGACAGTGTCCTTCACCCTCAGGCCCGGGATACTCATCTCTCTGAGAAAGACAAGATCAATTGAGGACCACTTGCCATGACGTTACTAAATCTGTGTTCACATTATGTGTCGTGACCCAAATATAAAAGTAGAATTTAAAATTCACAGGATGTCATGTTCGATCCTATGAAAAATGGGATGACATAGGAAATGAAAGGGTGAAAAGTGAGGAGAAGAAATCTTTATGAAGAAGAACTAGCAAACGCATTTTATCCTGGCAGTTCAGAAGACTATTCAGGTGAAATTGTCACCTTCATGGCCCCAAACTTCAAGTTTTATCCTCTGGGATCACTGGTAAAGTAGTCAGTAATTCTTCCCTGTGAGGTTACACAGGGACTTTCAAAAGATAAGAAAACTCACCCTTTGAGTCTGTTCATGCCTCTGTGAATTACCTCCATCAGTTTTCACCTAAAACTTCATCATCACTACCCCTAACCTCTTTTAAACAGCCTCTGCTGCTGACACCAATCCCTCCAGTTTTTAATCTAATTCTCTCAACACCTTTTATTTAAATCCCTAAAGACAATGACATATGTTGCAGTAAATTTTGGCTGTTGCCCAATTTATATTCTGAAAATTCCTTCACTGCCTTTGCAAGAAAAATAAATAAATAAAGACAATGTCTACTCTGAATAGCATATTTTCAATGTTAGAGAGATAAAAGTCAATCTAATTGAATTTTAGTTCCTAAAGTTCAACTGTTTAAAAGATGAGCAAACATAAATTCCATAACCAAAGCCATTGTGAATTCTAAAAGATATCAGTTTATATGCATTCCCTGACTCATATTTTCATCAACTGAGAGCTAAGTCTTCTGTTGTGATGATTTAAAACTAAAGTCAAGCTTATAATTTTAAGGACAAATTACATTGACTACAAAAACAAACAAACAAACAAGAAAAAACCAAACCAAAAAAACCCATGATGATAATAAGTGCATGTTATATGTTATATTTGGAAATTTTTTCCTAAGAACAAAATGAAGCAACTTACTTGCAAGTGAATGGAAGTCCTTTATTCCTAATACATCTATTGGCACACTGGTCTGCTGAGTTCATTTTTTTGGTTTTTATCTTCAGTAATGGGTCTTCTTTAAATAGAGTAGTCTTTGCTGACTTTTTGAATTCATGAAGCGTGTTTCTTCTTTTCTTCTGTCCTTCTATTAACAATAACAATTTTTTTTTAAAAATGAGGAAAAACTTTTAAGGCTCATGTAGAAAAAATGTCCTTAAGGATCATCTACAAGATAATGATTTTATCTGACAACATATGAGACTTCCAGGGGTTGGAAATGGAATGAGGTAGGGAATGATACTCTTAGAGAGTTAAGAGCACGGGAGAAATATTGTAATCAGTGAAGAATAAATAACTTGTCATGTAGAGTCACTCATCTACATTTTTTTAAATAAAGGATGTTTTTAAAAATTAAGACACAGTTCACTCTCAAGAAACAAATAACATGATATTCTCCAAACAGTATGCAAGAAAGTGCCAGGACATATCGTATCAGGCTATATCATTAAATTCATCATTTCCTTCTATAATTAGTCTTTATGTAAGTTATGGTATTAATTAGATAAGCCAATTTAATGGCAGGTGAGAAACTTCTCACTAAAAATGGTGCAGTGGATAAATTCTTCTGACTTGCTCTTTAAAGTATTTCATACTATTCATATTTTAGTCCTCATTTTCTACATAAGTGTTTTCTGTGCTTTGAGGCACTATTTCTTAGTATCACTGAACTGTTTGTCTTGAAATCAAGCCAAACGCTGAAAATCAGATGTACGTAAAACTTCATCCTGTAACGTAGCAATATCATTTTTCTTCATGAAGTACTCCACAAGGCTCCTAGTTAGCATGAAGCCTCCTATTAAAAACCTACAAACAAAACTGAAACCTCCTAGAAGACTTACTCTTATGAATAATTTTAGAGTAACAAGAATTTCTTTACTCTCAATTTGCCTAAAGTTACCTGCTTTCTAATGTTGATCATCATCTTACCATAAAGATCAAAACATCTAAGAGGTTGCAGCTATTGTATAATAAGGATAGACCTGATTGTGCCCCTCCTCTGCCTGTCAATGCTTTTGAACACCTTTAAACAAAGGCAGTAGTAATCTATTCATTTTTAAGATGCAGAAACCAAGACACAGGAAAAACTGACCACTCAGAAGATCTGATTCAAAACCCAGCTGCCTACCTTAAGAATCCGCATTCTTAAACACTTATGCCTTTCTAGAGAAAGGATGCCTTCTTTCTCTAAGAATTGCTAAGAAAGTACGTGGAAATATGGCTTGCAAACATTTTCTGAAGATTTGGTTTAGAGATATCAGTAAGGAAGGAGTGTAGACAGTAGAACTGGAAATGCTCTCCTAAGCTTATATATGTGGTGAAATGTGTCAAGAAAAGAGGGTGAAAATTTCTGTTCAGAAAATTTGGAAATAGGGCTAGCGGAGTGAGGTACCAAGAATGGCATTATATTCTTAAATGTGCCAGCAACCACTGTCTCCAGTTGGTTGATTAAACAGACAGACGCTACTCATTAATGTCTATCCTAATCTGAAGTCCACAATAAGAAAGAGAGAACGAGAAGTCCTCCAAATTTCTGATTCTCTACAAAACTCCTGATCACAAGCACCAAAAGACTGGTATTAATTTCTGTAATGATGCTTTCGTTTTTAACTTTTCTTTGCCCTAAAACATGGGATAGCTATGGTACACAGGTATAATTTAAAAGGCATTTTAACATAGAAATTCAATCAACCAAAGAATCCATCAACATGTTATTTATTGAGTGTGGACCAAATGCTTTGCATGACGTTGGCAGACAGATGATAATTCTGGCATTCCTATTGACTTTCCAAATGACTTTGTTTAATTACCTGAAATGCTAATATCCCAATTACTCAATCTAAAACATGCAAGTTACATTATATTTGAACTAAAATGAGCTATTTAAATTACACTCATGAAGTAAATATTTGGAAATCAATTTGGATAATGTTATTAATATGCAATGTTGTTTTAGTTTTAGTTTTGAAATTGCATTCTTTAATTTCTGTCATATGTGTGAAACTTATTCTCCCAGGCAAAAAAAGTGGTATATTTCTTTTCAAATTTTGGGTTCTACCACAGAAGCACGTTAATGGGAGGTGTTTATGTTTCTCCATTAAGAGATTCTCCTTCTTTTGACCTTAGTGAACTATTTCTTAGGTGTTTTGAAATGTTTCACAGCATAATAATCATCTGATTTTCTGTATAAATAGTAATAATTCTTAGAAACAAATAGTAGTTAATGGATGCACATCCTCTATTTTTTAAAAAACTGTCCACCAAAATGGAAGAAGCATATATATATATATATATATATATATATATATATATATATATATATATATCTCAAGTTCTGTTAACTATAGAATTAAAATTGGCCTCATTTATAATGTATTTATGATACATACCTAAGTGAGAGAGAAGAATATAAAAGCTAAATTTAAAAAGTCTAAGACAAACATTAAACTCAGGTATGTATTTTACTAATTATCAAGTAAAGTAGAACCCCTCGTCAATTTTCCGGTTTCTTTTCTCAACACCATGCAACATGAAAGAGAGCATTGAGGACTACTGTAGGGAAAGAGGACCTCTGTGGGATGGTTGGTTGTGTGTAGCTCTGTAGCTCCTCAGTTGTCCTATTGAAATGTGTTAATGTGTAGCTGTACCTCATAAACATAGTCTACTCTTGCTTGTTGATAAATTTTTCCATCGCTACCTTTCATCTAAAGATCAAAAAGCATTCTGAAAAGCAAATAAATCTGTGATTTCCCTTTAGTAGATAGTAAATAGGAGTGAAAAGGTTGTCTGGGGCTACAATAATCAGAGGCAAACGGAACCAGATTCCAGATTCCCTTTTCACCATGTATTTCTCATGACTTAGAAACGTTCCCTTATAATTCAGTCACTTCTACTAGGTCAGTAACTAATTAATGAAAAATGTGAAGTTCAAGCTAGTTGTACATCATGTAATCCACACAATGATAAAATTAATTTCTTCTTCAATAAAAGAAAAATTCAAAACAGAAGTCCTTCAAAAATAGCATCTGAAAATAAAATTCCTTTGCTGAAACTAATTTCAACTTTTTCTTTCATGAGTATTAACAATCAATGCTTGTTTTACTGAAAACAGTTAAAAAACAAGCTTAATTTGGGACGAAACTCAAAAATATCTTTGGATCAGATTTTCCCCTACTATTTTTTATGCATGACTGTTAGTTGAAGTTTATAAACAAAATATTGAAATGAAATCAAAGGGTGAGAGATCACTCCAACTTTGTCTTGTTTTCCTGTACTTTAAATTGCAACTCCTTTTCCCTCTTCTCTCAGTATGGGAAAACATTCTGGAAGCTATATTTCCTGAAGAACCTGAAGCCCCTATTTTAGAACTGAAATCATAAGGATCTCAGTGAAAACCTATAAACAGAGAGTGGGGTCAAATGTATCAAGGTGCTTGAAAAAAGACACATTTCTCCCTCTGGTCCCTGGGCCTCACACTCATTTCTCTCAGTACCTCATATATTTTCTTCTCTGTATGGACTAACCATTGACTTCAAAGGAAAATCATGCAAGGAAAGGATTTGCAGGGTGTGGAAAGAAGCAGGAATCTGGCTCCTCATACTCTGAGAAACTTACCCACATGATTGGTGATTAACAGCTTGAAGTGGCAAAATGTTAAGATGAAAGTGCACAAATAATTAATGGAAGGGAATGGTTGTGACTGGAGATTTTAAACTTCTCAAAGACAAGAATCCTAAAACCTAACCCAGATTTTCATTGCTATTATCTAGGATTTGGATTTCATAATTCTCTCCTTTTTTTAGAGAAGGCGACAGTATCACAAATAAAGATGTCAAGAAGAAAGGGATCGTGTCAGGTTTAAATCAAATGTTGGTATTAGAGAACCAGCTTAATAATCTCCTCCAAAGAGATTTACAAAATGAAGTGATATTCACTGTGAGATTAGGGGCCTCCCTAGAAATCTCCACCCTTCTCTTTCATTCCACTTCCTTGTCCAGTATGTCATTGGTATAGAAAGCCTCCCTCTGCTCTCTGCCTTCACTATCTGTTTCTGCCTACCACTCTCCATCCACATAGCAACCAAAACAGCCACCCTGAAGAACAAATTCTGTCAGGTATCTTGTCAACTCAAAAACTTTTAGCAGCTGCCCATGAATTGAGTAGTTTGGCATGACACTCATCGCTTTTGCACACGCACGTTCTCCTATCTTACTTCTCTAATCACAGGTCAACTACTCTACCCTCAGGTACACCAGCCTGCATGGTTACCTGTCCTTTCTTATGCTCTCTCACGTCTACAGCTGTGGTCACGTCCCCAGCTTTGGTCACGTCCCCTGGCTTAGGCACTACCAACTGTGTGACTACCCATCTTTTCATACTCAACTTAGGTACCATATACTTTCTAAACCTGGTTTGATCTTTTAACCTAGAAAGGAAATCTCAACCACAGTATAATAGGATTTCTAAAACAGAGTTTTTCTTATGTTTCTTAGTAAAATGGATTTTTAAAAGGCAGTTTCAGCTGGTTTCACTGCTGTTGGCTTCAGTATAAATATTTTTTTTAAAAAAACACATATGTTATTCACATAGATTTGAATAGGAATATCAGCTCCATCCCTTAACAAAGATAATAAGAGCATTAAGATAAATTAACCTTGGTCTACTCATGTTAGAGAAGTCCAATAATGCCAATCTTATTAAAATTAAATAAGCTTTGTTTTTAGAACTTGGTCCATAACAGCTGCTCAGTTATGTAGGTTTCTTCCTCATTTGTTCCTTATACACCCCCCACCCCCCATCTACAGGCTCCTCAACATTAGGTGCTCAATTAATGCTTCCTTTGTTACAGAGAGTTGGATGTTTGTTTCCACTGTAGGTGGGAGCTGATAGAGGCTAATTATATATAGACCAACTTCTACAAGAATGGCTTGGGTTCACTATATTGAACATTCCTTAAGAAACTTTTTTCTATAAATTATTTCCATAATATATTCTACTCATAACTGGTTGTCAACTCATTATAGTATCCAGTTCTTTCTAACATTGTGCTATTTTACAATATGTACAAATATAGACTCACAGGACAAATCAAAAAGCATAACCGAAGCAAGTAACAACCAAAAACTTCTAAATATTCAATGTTAGACGACATAAAAAAGAACAAACTTTTTTTGTATGTTCTAAGAGGGCTATCTGTGTTTTCCATCCTGAAGAATGTTATTAAAAAAAAAAACTATCAAAATAAACTTGCCACCCAAACAAAGGCAGACCCTCTTTTGATGACAATTTTAGCCTTATCCACTTCAGGAATTATTCACAGCATATCTGTAATTCCCAATTGGCCTCCCTTGCCTGCCAGCACGCTCTTGGGCTGCATTTTCCCTATACTCAGGAAACGCAGTCATTTCAACATTAGCCAAAATGAAATATAATTACGAATGTATATCTCCTGCCAAAACTTCGTAATGCATGCCAAAAACAAATAGACATTGTCTATGGTTGATCTACTGTTTGGGTTTTCCACAGTGTTCCCCTTGCATTAGCACAAATGATTTCAGGTAACGTCTTCTACTTCAGACTAACAGCATTTTAACCTTTAACAACGAAAGCCCTCAAAATATTAGCCATGATTTCAATTTATGCTCAAACTCCCCTAAACCAGCGATGTCTTATAAGTCTATTTTAAAATGACTTATCTCATGCATGATACCCTGCTTGATTAAACTAATTTCTTTTTTACCTTCAGAAATCTTACCTAACTGTTTTCAAACTGACCATCCCAGACAGTGTTATTTTCCAAAAGGGCCACTTTGCAAAATAGAAGAAAGCCAGGTGGATTGAACAATTTCTTGACATATAGCAAATTCTTGATGCTTTCAACCCTTGTATTACATCAGAAACTAGATCAGAGGTCTGATGAATTTCACATTTAACTTATCTCAAAAGATAAAGCCAGCTCTCTGTTTTAGATTATAAAATGGCCATGTCTGCCATCTGGGCATTTGTTTCATTCTTTTATTCCCCTGTGCCCACCCATGATGCTCACCACCTTGTCCCGTTGGCATCCCAGCCACTCCAATGATAATACAACCAAATGCAGATGTTTCCTCCTGCCCTTGTAACAACAGAAACCTTCCCAAAGCAGCAAATGAAATCTCTAAACTTTCCGGCAGCATGAACCCCCAAGCGACTCCTTCCCAACCTGTAAATTCAGGGGAGAACATGGGACATGGAAAGGAGAAATTCTGCAGCTTTCATCAAAGTCACACAATATTTGCCTTCCTTGCAGTGCAGTTTCGAAAGGGCAGGCAGGCAGGCATCCATACCCAGAAAGAATGAGATCTTAGAAGAGAGGCTTTCTCTTTCAGTTTTATAAGATGCATTTACTCAGAGTTCAATCTGCCTTCTCCAAATGAAAACCTGTGTATAAAGCCATAATTTTGGCTCTGAATGGTGACTGAGGGATGTGGGGTAGTGGACTGTCATGGAAAATTATCCTCTGGACAAAAAGGAGTCCCTGCTGTCCTGACCATCACTCTCCTCCAGTTCAGACCAGACCTCTGTTCAGCTTTAAACTTGTCCAAACCAGCCAAGTTCCAGCCAGTGTTAGCACTTCACTCCTGTCCCACAGTCCACAACTACAATATTCAGCTCATTGAGAAGGGGCTGGCTCAGCAGGGGGAGGGGTGGGGGAGACACACCGAGGGGATGTTAATTATCATGTAAATGCTTTGATAGAACTAGAATATCAAAAGAAAGGACAATGAGTGGTTAAAAAAAAAAACATACCACATACTGAGCTGAGAAAGGGTGCTGGGAATTGGGTTAAGGGAGAGTCAAGAGGAAAGCAAAGGTTAGCAAGAGAGAGGTAAAAGAAGGAGAAGGAGAATGAAGAAGGGAAAACTAACCTGCATAGGGGATGGCGATGGGAAGCAGAAGAAGGTGTAGGAGGACCTGCTGCAGCAGCAGCACTGGCAGAAGTTTGGTCACCCACATGGTGCTGGACGCGCTGCGGATCCCACTGGAGAAGATGCCTGGGTGAAAGAATCCTGTTGCGACTCAATGCCTCCAAGAGCCAGGCGGCTCTGAGCTGCTTTTTATTGCGATGAGCTAAGTTTGTTGTGTGATTAACTGGAAAGATCTAGGTCTGAACTCCCTCTTACGGTAAGAAACTGTTTAACAACAGCCCTTGACTCTCTTCCACCCCCCTCTTTTCCTCACTACCCCCCTCCAACTACACCAAACAGATCTCAGCTCCCCGCCCCCCCCCAACCCCCAACTCTGCTTAGGAAAGAAACTTACAAAGAAAAGGTCACCTGGCCTGAGGCCAGCTTCAATTTGGAAGTCCGAGCTCCAGATCGCAGTGGCTCCTATCCGAGTAGGGAAGGGAGGAGCAAGGCTCAACCCAATAGCTAAATCCAGGCACAGGCAGAGGACCAATTCGCTAAATTTAAACAGAAAAATACATGTGTTTACATATCTATTTGGGAAAAGAGGAAGGGGAAGCAGCATGAGAAGAAAGCAAAGAGCTGCCTTTCAGTCAAATGCGCCTGAGCTCCTGATCTGTCTAGTTTCACAGCCAGAGCAACCTAGGGATTCAAAACACCGACACGGGTTCCCTAGAGAGTTGGAGACAGGATGGGAGGGGGAGGCAGGCGCGGGGCAGAGCGCACAGGCAGGTCCGGCCCAGGTAGACAGAGGTTAGGTCAGAAAAGGGTGTGGTATTGTGCGGTAAAAATACACAAGCAGAAAAGCACCCACAGTGTCAGGTGGGAAGACGGCCCCTGCCCAATGGGCCCCAAGCAGGCAGCTTTTTTCAGAAGATGTGCTAAGCTCCCCCGGTCACCACCCATGTACCCAAAGTGCATAGAAGAAACTCGTCTGATCTGGGGTTTGTGATCATGCGCTTAAAATGTCTAAGAGGTTGGGATTATCCACTGTCCCCGACAGAGAAATGCAGCAGGGACTACGTGCCTTTCTGATGCCAGGGTAGCGAATCCCTGAGTGGGGACTCAAACCCTGGGCCAAGAAGGTTCTTGGCTTCACACAGGAAAGAATTCAAATGTGAGCCAATATAGAGTTTAAAGTGAAAGTAAGTTTATGTAGCAGAGAGTAAGAAAAGACCATCTCGCAGATGGAGTGGCGGTCTCTAATCCCCGTGGAAGGGACACCCCCTCGGCCCTTTGGGCTAGGGTTTATGTTTCTTGTTTCTATGGAAAATTTCTTAGTATGGGGAATTTCTGTAGGATACAGGAAAAGGGGCAGATTTGCCTTTAACTTTTTTACCTGTGGCTAGTTTGTAACAGGTTTAATTACGGGAATGGCCATGGCAGTGGAATCTCTGCTTATTGGCTTCAGTTTCTCTGTTCTGTGTGATTGGTTAACATCTGCCCAAGTTCTGTGTCTGGCAGCACGTAAGTAGCAGGATTGGAATCCAACATCCTAGTTCCTTCTTTTGTAAAAATAGTCCTCAGGCCCCTTCCCTGTGTTATCCCTCCCCCTCGCCCCCCTCAGAGATTTTATTCCTGTAATCTTAAGGGGTTGTTGAAGGATGAAGGTCCGTCCTCAGTAAATTCTTTGAGGATGAGAAAGGGCAGTAGTCGCTGCTTGTTGGGAGTACATATCTCTGGAATCTTGTTCTAGGGGCCTCAGGGGCTGAGGACGTGGGTTTTGGTTTGAGACTGGAACCAAAACAGGTTGGAAGTCCTGTCAGATCATCTTCACGTGAAATTGTTGTAGCCTGAAAGAAACAAGCTTGATAAGGTTAAAAAGACAAGAGCCAAAGATTAACAGTAAAACTAAGGTGACTAGGGGTCCTAAAAAAAAACCCGGCAATACAGGTAAAGCCAGGAAATCATCCCTTAAATGTGTCCTGTAAATCTTTGTTTTCTTTGTTATACTGATGTAACCATTCAGCTTGGTCTTACATTTTTTTGATGTTGGTTTCTATGATTCCAGAACTGTTGACATAAGTGCAACAGGTTTTATGAACAGCACGTACGCCCCTTGTTCAGCTAGAATATAGTCTAAGGCTACTCATCGGTTGTCATAAACTACATTTGCTAGTGAATTTAGAGAGGTTTGTAATGCCCCGGATGAGTCTGCAGTGTCTCTAATGGCTTCTTCTACTTCTGTAATTGTTTCTCTAAGAGTGATTTCAAGATAAGTAAATCCTCCCCATGAGGCCAAGGCCAAGATGGCTCCAATCACCCCTGCAAGGATTAGGCCCAAAGCTCACTGGGTTCTTGGGTGTCTCTTGGTTATGTTAAGAATGGTAATGCTTTCCAGAGCGATGGTTCCCAGAGTGCAATCCCCTCCATGTTGGGAATTGTCTAAGTGAGAGTAGACTCTCTGCCTCAAGGGGCTCTCCAGCTCCTTTAAAAAAATTGTTAAGGAGTATCGCTAAGCTGGTCAAGTCCCAATGGACGTTTGATTTAGTTGATTAAATCCATACAGGAATGTTGTGAGTGGATTTAGGCAATTGCTTAAAGGCCTGAGAGAAGAAGGATTCAAGGATCTCTTGCTGCTGGAGGCCTGTTAAAGAGGATAATATTCTCTGAAGAGTGTAGCCTAATTTCTAGGAAGTACAAACAGCCCCATCAGACCTGGAAGCATGAGCTAAATCAATACATGAATGGGTATTATTGGGGACACAATCCACTTAAAATTGGGCTATGTTACAAGGTTTAAATATAGATCCTTCTAGGGGGAGGGTTACCCCTGACTTAAATTAGCTAAAATTTTATAGGGGTCTATGTCACTGGTATGGGTATCATTGTAACAGGGTATGTATCCCACATTCATTTTACAACTTAAAGAGGTGGTAGTATAAATAAACTTGTGAGTCGTGAGGTTGGTTATGTGAAAACAAAGAGGGGGAGGTGGAGCCCATTGTCTTATAAGACTGGTTTTTGACCTTATAATATTTAAAGCGGTATTTAGAGCCTGGGTTATTGTGCCATTACTTATAAGATACACTCTTGAGTTAGTTTGTGCATTTCCCAGACTTTCAGGTCTCCAATAACAGACCCAGCAGTCAGACATTTTCTCCCTTAGTAATAACCCAAGAAGAATTGATAATGAAATGATTTTTTCCATTGTAGACTTAGGCAGTCTGTTAATATAGAATAGAAGGGTATAATGTTAAGTAATTTTTTTTTAAAGATTTTATTGGGGAATTGGAGGAAAGTAACAGTGTTTGGGAATTGGGGAAGGGGACCAGCCAAGTTGTTGTTCTTCAATCTTCATTGTGCAGGGTGCCAGTCGCCATCTGGCTGCCCATCGACAGCTTGTGGCCTCTAAGCTCAAGGTGCCGTGTTCAATTTTAGTTGTGGGTGGGCATAGCCACCATCCCATGCGGGAATAGAACCAGCAGCCTTGTTGTTAAGAGCGTGTGTTCTATCCACTGAGCCATCCGGGCAGCAGCTCAGCTCAAGGTGCCGAGTTCAGCCTTAGTTGTGGGTGGGCGTAGACACCATCTAACAGGCAATCTTGTTGTTACACCAATTGAGCCATCCTGCCACCTGTTGGCAGCTCAGTGACAGCTCAGCTTGGGTGCAGCATCACTGGCCCATGTGGGAATCGAACTGGCAGGCCTGTTGCTCAGAGCTCATGCTCTTAAGTCAACTCTTAACCAACTGAGCCACTTGACCAGCCCTTAAGTAAAATTTTATGATGGCAGTGGATAGACTACCTGGGAAGGCCTCTCGATGTGTCTAATTTGTCTGTTTTCCTTCCAAACAGAAGACTGAGGTGTTCTATGGGTTCACAAGAGTAGGTCATACTTTTTTTCTGCTTTCTGGAGGGACCTGCAGGGACTCATAGGAAACAGGTGTAATTTGAGACAGATGGACCCAATTTTGATTCCTTATAGTTTGACAGCAGTTGGGATACCTAACAGAACTTGGTAGGGCCCCTTCCATTTGGGTTGAAGTTGATTCTCTGGGGACCCTTCCTTCTAATTTTTTAATAAGACATGGTCTCCTGGTTGTATTGGAGGGTCTAATTGAGTTTTAGAAAGACTAAATAGAATGTTATTTCCGTACTCTTGGAGTGCCTTTTGGACTTGGCCTAGAGTAATGAAATAAGACAGTATCTGTTGAATATCTTTATTCAAATATAAATCTGAAGTTATGAAGGGCCTTCCATAAGTCATTTCAAAAGGGCTTAGCTTCAAGGTATACCTAGGGGCTACCTGGACTCTTAACAGTGTGATACTTAAAAGAGTTACCCATGTCTCAGAACTTTCTTGACAGGGTTTAGCGAGGACTTGGTTAGCTTTCTCTACCTTCTCCTAGGATTGGGGCCTCCAGAAAGAGTGAAGATGATACTTAATTCCTAAAGCAGAGACTACTTGTTGGTTTACTTTAGCTCGTTGTCACTCAGTAAGTTCCTTGTCAATTCAAATCTAGGTAAAATTTCCTTAAGTAAAAACTTAGAAACTTCTAAGGGCTTTTCAGTCCTGGTGGGGAAGGCTTCTATTCACCCAGTAGAAATACCGATAAATACTAATAAGTACATAAATCCTTTGCATGATGGCATTTGGGTGAAATTTATTTGCCAGTCTTCCCCAGGGAATGATCCCCTGTGTTGTACTGGCTTTAACAATGGAGGGGGGATCGGGTGGCTCTCTGGGTCATTGAGAGCACAAACTTCACAGGCTCTGGTTACTTCTTAGTGGTTTAAGATAATCCCTATGAAGATACTGGAGATCAACTTATATAATGAATCTCAACCGAAATGGAAGGGTCATGTAAATGTTTAATAACTTTCCATTATTCAGCCCTTCAGAGGAACAATCGTTCTTTATCAGTGAACCATCCCGATGGGTCAAGAGTGAGGTCTCTTAGTTTTGTCCGGGTAGTTTCTTCTTAGGTGTAGCTGGGTGTGTAATTGGGAAGTGGAACATCAGGTATGAGGGTTGCCTGGATGAGGGGGATAGCTTTTGCTGCAATTTTGGCTGCTTTATCTGTTAGAATGTTTCCCTCGACTATATCTGAGTCTCCCCTTTGATGTCCCCGGGCAATGAATGACTGCTATCTCTTGAGGTTCATTTACAGCTTCTAAGAGCTGTAAAATTCCAGCCTTATGTTGGATTGAGGAGTCCTTTGCAATAAGAAGACCTCTTTCTTTCCAGATGGCAGCATG